CTGTCAGAATTTAGTTGGTTTAGAAAGGTGACATATTTTATACCTGGACAGCTGATTGTACCCTACACTACCACTAGAAATGAAGGAAGTATCTTAGAAATAACAGTATTCACTACAAAACCACCGAACAGCCATTTCGTTTGTATCTTCAGGAGAACAAGGTAAAAACTATAATCATTTAACAAGAACTTTATCACAATTAATACACACAAGGGAACAAATGAAGTCTGGATGTAGCTTTGGACTTGGACTTGATAAGATTTGTAATGTTTATGTTTTTTTAAATAGCAAATTGGAAAAAACATGCGTTTCCTCCTGTGATTTAAGAGTGACAACCAGCTGGTTTGTTAGCAGGGGGCAGTTGTTGAAGGTTTTTGAACCACTTACTGCACAGAGATCTATGACTGAGCTAACGGAGTAACTAACAGTACTAAGAGGCTGTATCCCCTCCATGCTATTTACTCTACAAAGTCGTGAGTGACAGCAATTACATAATTTTCCCTTAGCAGATGTTTACTCGGCCAAATGCAGTATCAACGTAAAGAAGATCTTCCTGATAAAAGCTCTACAAGATCTTCTTCTTAATATAGTATCATTACTCTTAGCTACTCTCCAAGGATATACAATACATGGTTAAGCCTCCAAAATACATTGCTATGGCTTCCCTTGCTTCACAGCTGTATCCCCCATCAGGTCTTCTCAGAACATACATGTGCCATTGAATATCATGGTGTACTGGTTGAACCAAAATAGTTGCCATAAAAGGACTTCTAAATTTCCATTTTGACTATCAATGATTCAATTCAGTTAAATGTGTATGCCCAGAACCCTTAGAATACGATTAATTTGTGGGTGTTCATCTCTGAGAACTTGAAAGAAGGCAAGGCTTGTAAGATGATGGAGGAAAGCACTTACTCTTATTTTCCACTAATCTGAAGCAGAAGACATGACTTAATATTTCTGGGTTGAAAGAGGATTCATTTCCTGAATTTTTGATAGTACTGAGTCTGCAGTAACATTTTACCTCAGAAGCACACCTTATTCTAGTAAGTCAAGCAGGCTAGAAACTTTTGCACGGAAGTGCCTTTCCTATCCTCTAATTATTGCATATATTCAGCTCTTGATCTCTTCTGCAGACAAAACAAAGTACATAAGCTTATAGACTGCTCTATCAGAAATTTTAACTGTTAATAATTTAAATTGCATTCCTCTTCAAGGCAATCTCTCTTACATTCTAAAGGTTATTCACATATTTAGAAATGTTTTGATAGGAATTTATTAATTGGTAAATTGAAGACATCCAACTTTAAAATGTATGTTCATTTTTTAGCACAATATATCTATTTTAAATATGGTAAGTTCCATGTGGCAAAATACGTGACTAAATATCAAGACATAGTGGCACTGCAGAAAGCAAGCTAGTAAAATGGCACCCACTTTATGTAATATTCAGATGCAAAAGAGATATCCATTTATTTCCTGCCACACTGCTATAAAATCCAGCATTTGTAGTAAAAATAAATTAGAACTAAGGGACAAACTTTTATTTCATTCTTCAAGGGTCTTTAAAAAACAGTAATACTGATGATACTTATAAAGGAACATCCCAATTAAATAGATGCAGACTCAAAACATAATTCAAATCTATACTGTAGTCTCAATTTCTCATAGTTAAAGTTGTCAAGTTTTCCATTAAATTAGTATTGGTTCTAGACACCTCAAATCAATTACAATGAAGATTCTGAATGTGCAGATTGGCATAAGTGTCCATTGATAGAGAAGCCAATATTGTGTCTGTTGCAGAATCAGTGTTTTCTTCCCTTTGCCCAACTAAGTAGAATAAAGACAAGGAACGGAAAAAAAAAAAAAAAAACAATTTTGGAGACATACTTGATGGGAAAGCAAACTGATTAATGAGGAAATCTTCTCCCCCTCTTCCTCCAAAACCTGTCAATTGGACTGAAATGGATATGTAGTAGCATTAAATGAGATGAGGGAAGGAAGAGAAAAGCCAAGAAAATGACTCAGTCTCCTGGCCATGTTTCCAAAGAATAAAAACGTATAGGTTGCAGAAGGAAAGGTAACATTTTATTAAAGTACTTCTACAGTTTTCACTGTCATGTATTTAGAAATATCTGTACGAATCACTAACTAGGAAAAGATTTTGTATAAAATAATTAAATGATGAGTATTACTGATCATACATTTAAACACAGAGCACCCCACTAAATCATACTGTATTCTTTTATGAAGAAAAGAGGAAATGAGCTTTATAAGTGATAATTATTAATATCACAAGACTTCTTTGATTTGCATTTACAGAGAAGCATACAAAATTTGAAGAAGAATAACAAAGTATTACTTTTACTCAAAATTTTTGTTTATTATTTGTCTATAGAAGTTAGATCATTAGGTTTATTAACTTACAACATCTCCGTCAGAAATTTCATAACCTATCCTTAAAAAGATTATGTATGCACCCACCCTATTCTTGTAATTCCAGCTTCAAACATAAAATTTTATTCCTCTGTTCCTTCTCCATATTATTCTTGTAGAGATGAATTTTGAATGAATGAGCAATAAAATGGATTGTGGCATATTTGTATAACACACTTTAAGGAATAAACAACTACAGTAGAAGTAAAATCATCTCTTCATGCATCTGTGTACACATATACTTCACTCTGCGCAAAGGTTTGGTAAACATGGATAGGTGGCCATTTTCTGGTTCTG